GATGGAGGATAAGAATTATGCATCCGTCAGTGGCGCACGTGTCGCAATAAATTGTAAATATCTCTCCTATCCTCGAGAAGATCCGTCTATCGATATCTGATTAAATCTCCGAAAGGGATATTCCTTGGCTCGAACGTGACGAGTTTTTGGGATCGATGGAAATTTCTCTTCTTTTCCCCATGATTCGTCGTGTAAATTTTAACGCGGAATCGAGCGTTAAGAAGACGCATTCTTCGCAGAATGCATCCGCACGTTTCGTCCTCGTTCACGCCGAAAGAAAGAAGGATACCGTTAAAGTACCTACCTTCTTTCTTCTTTCCACACCCTTAACGCACGATTTCTCTAGGGAGAAAAAAAAAAAAAGAAAGAAAGAGCCGTCGATAACACGCTTGCTACGTACCAACTCGNCTCGGCTAAAAAAGCGCCACCGTGAAAGTTAAACTCCTTCGAGGATATTGATTCGAGGAAAAGTTGGAAACAGGCTCTTGGTGCACGGAGGGAGAGAGAAAGGGAATGTTTACACACCTTCCCTCCTTCCTCCTCTTCTTGGAAACAAGCTGTACCTGTTTGTTATTGCTTTCTCCCGTGGACCGGTTTCTTTAATTTCCGACGATGGATGTTCGCCGGGTTGTTCGAAGATAAACGGTTGGCACGAGGATGACAAACAGCGGAGCACGGAAGAGCGAGAACGTTGAATATTTGACGAGCAAACTCCGGATGAATTTAACGACCTTTTCCCGCGCCCGGTGTTTGCCCACCGCGTCCCTGTCAATTTTTAGATCCCGTCAACTATCCACGGCTGGTAATACACGGGTGATAACGGGAGTCCCGCATGTTGAGCGGACCTGTTGTCTTGGAAAATACCATTGAAAAAGGTACAGGCGAGTGGAGGACGCTGGACAATATTGCAACCGGTGTCCCGATAAGAAGAATACCACTCCTCGCTTCTCGCTTTTCCCCTCCACTCGACTCTCGTATCGGCGCCTATTCCCCCCTCCCCTCGAGGGCGCACGATTTCCAGTCGGAGGAATAAGGGATAAGAAAGAAAAGGGGGCGAGAACGACGGACGAAATCCCGTCGAGGGACGTGGAAGAAGGGTAAAAAGAGAGAGAGAGAGAGTTTTATTTACGAATTCTGTGGAAAGAGAGATGCAGCGAAAGAATAGGGGAGAATAACTTCGACAAAAGCTTAGTTTCCTTCGGGTGACGATGCTCCTGTTCGCCAACAACAACCAAGGGACCTCCACGGGACGAGTGGAGACAGTTATCGAGGGGATAAGGGAGGGCTGACGATTCGGGGAGGAAGAAGCTCTATAGAATTAAGAGCCCATTAGCCTTTCATTAACTCGACGTCGTTGGATCCGCGGAGGGATGGACGGATACTCGTTTCTAACCCCTTCTTTGTGGCCGTGTCCCTCGCAACGAGCAGACAGAGGGAAGCAGCGTCTCGATGAAAACTGGATCCATTCAACCACCGCGAAGCCACTTACCACCATCTGGTGTACACGCAAACGAGTCTCCCTCTTCCCTATTGTCTCCAATCTCCAGAAGGGAAGAAGAGGGATCGCGCGTGTCGCAGTCGGCTCCAGTTTAAACGACGATCGCTAAAAAACGAAAGGGAAAGAGGAAGAGATTCGAACTGAATTTAAACAGTTGCTCGAAAAGAATATATATATATATATAGATTTCACGCTGTGGAAACGATTTCTATTTGGATTTATACTTTTGTAACGACGAAGATCGGGAAGGGGAGAAAGAGATTTGGAGACGAATACGCGGAGAATTGAAATTGGAAAGAGGAACGCACGACGCGACGTGTGTGTAATCGCGACGACGAGGCTTTTCTCCGACGCGTTTAGTCGTCATTCTATTAGACGATAATTGACTGTCAAACTCGTGGCACGCCGGCGCCGCGCAGGTTCGTTCGACTGTAATGCCAGAAACGGGTTAATTGCGTTATGGCTGTCATTATCTCGGTCGCTGAGCATGCAGCTCTCGAGAGGAGCGCCATCCACGAGACGCGGCTTGTGCA